GCGGTACCCGCGCCATCACCCTGCGAGCAATTGTTTTGTTGTCCTGTTTTCCAGAAAGCAGAGGCTGAAAGAGTTAAGTGGACTCCCCAGAGCCGAATGTGGGAGCGAGTGTTTTTTGATCTCACTCTCCACTCGGGATGAGGAGCCTTGCAGACACTGTTCAGATCTTAGCATCCCCCGTTTAACTACTTCCTCAGTTGGATGTCAGAATGTTTTGGGTTGTTTTAATCTATTACTTAGGCGTCGTTCATCAGGTGCCAAGTGCAGTTATCTGAGGACAGTTTTATCACGCCCTTTGTTTTCTTTGCATTCGGTTTTTCAATTAAAAATTATCCTGCCTTGGTTTTTTTGCTTGCCGCATCCCCAGAAACAGTCTCAAGAGTGCCCTCGGACTTAAGCCAGTGTCCCATTTTCTTGCACATTGGTAGCAAGAGTTTGTGTTTGGGGACACTGATAGGCCCTAATCACCCTGATAGGCTCCTTTGGTTCTCCCAATAACGTCAAGTGCTGCTATAGTTACCTCTGGCTGGAGGAGACATTGTTGGGGAAACTAGGTTTTCACTGCAGGCTGCAGAGCACAAATTCTGAGCCACCGTGCATAACGATCTTCAGGAGTTCTTTCAAGCATCCTGTTTGTGCTTTTCTGTGTAATTCTTCCCACTCGGGACTTGTAGCGAAATTTTATCCGTTTTGGTTAGCTATTAATCACACTGCTGCCAGTTCACAATTCCACTGAATTTGACAGAAAGGGGAAAAAAAGTGGGCTTGAATGACCCATACTTAGAAAAGAGAAAAGGAAAACAAGTGCATCTTTGGAGAGGTGGTAATTTATTTTTTTTTTAATTTACTTCTGTTTGTCTTTATTCCTTAATGTGCAACGACCTAAGCCCAAATGAATCCCTGTACCACTGTAGTTGAAGCTGCCTACCTAGCTGGTACAGTGCCGATTTACCATCACATTTCTCTGTGTCCAGAAGACAAATTTGTTATACACTTAGCCTATTTCAGATTTGCCCCATAAGGATTGATGACCTACTTTGATACTTCAGTACTGAAGCAACCACTGTGCCGTTGCAACATTTTACAGTATTAAGGCGGTTCATATAAGCCAAGCAAGAGATTTTTCATTACCATATTTAAGAAGCATCCAAAATCTTCAAGGGCAGGCCGGTCTCCCGTATCTAACATCATATATAGCGCATCATAATAGAAACTTGATTTGATATTTATTGGCCTGAATTGAAGTTCTCACACAGGATTACTGTTTTCACAGCTCTCCATCCAGTGCCCTAGTCCTCCCAACAGCCAAACCCCCCTTTCCAGGAGGTTATCAGGAACAACCAGTTGTAATATCTCAGTCTACTGAGAAGTAAACAAAACATGTTTGGGGCTGTGTGTGGATTCTTCTGATCCAAATGAAGTTGTCACGTCTTCAAGTCTTAACAAACCCTAACCTCTGAGCTTACTTCTTCGCTGTCAATCTCCATTTGGAATTTCTTCTATACTTTTCAAAGGCTTTAAAAGCTGTTGCCACAGTGGACTTTGCCATAGCTTCTATATCATAAGCAGCCCTTTAAAGTACAAATGGAAGGTGTGAAATCCTGTTAGCGTTTCAGTCTGCCTCTGAAAGAATGACAGCTGTTCTTTTGAGCATCTTTTCCCCAGTTTTGCTCTCTTCTATGTTAAACAGTTTTGTGCATATGGTGTGCTGGGATTGATCCCAGTGCCTCAATCCATGCTAGGCAAGCAGTGTACCAGAGCCAGCCTAGAACTAAACTTTGAACAGAGCTTACAACTGTTTCTCAGGAACAAATTGTTTTCTCTATCCTAGGTATTAATGTAGGCCATGGCACCACTGTCCTCTTAGGGAGGCAGGACTCCTACTCCCTGGGCTGCTGTTCATGAAGGCACTCAGTAGAGACATCTGAAGGTGCTCGTAAATGTGGACCCTCAGCATTTGCTGCTAAGTAGTTAGGTAGCAGCAGCTCTGTCTCTGTGTAGATTAAGGAGCTCTAATCGGATTTTCTCATGTGTTCTCTATCACCTTCGTTATTAACTTAGGAACATTTGTATTTAATAGATGACCTAAAACACTTTACCAAAAACATTGAGGCTTGTTTAAGGTAGGGTCTTACTGTGTCCCCCAAGCTGGCTTTTGAACTCAGGCAATCCTTGTACCTCAGTACCCTAGTTAGGATTTCAATTGCTGTGATGAAACACCATGAGCAAAAACAAGTGAGGGAGGAAAAGGTTTATTTGGCTTATATTTGACAATGTAACCCATTACTGAAGGAATTCAGGGCAGGAATTCCAGCAAGATTGAACCTGGAGGCAGGAGCTGATACAGAGGCCTTGGAGGGGAGCTGCTTACTGGCTTGCTCCCCATGGCTTGCTCAGCCTGCTTTCTCATAGAACCCAGGACCACCAGCCCAGGGCTGGCCCCACCCACAATAGGTTTGGCCCTCCCACACCTATGGCTAAGTAAGAAAATGCCCTCCATGCTTATGTATGGCTCTCTACTCTGATGACTATACATTATGTCAAATTGACATAAGACTGGCCAGAATACTCAACCTCTCATTGAGCTTAAATGTGTAAGGCATAGAGCCAGATTTTTATTTTGGGGGTGGGGAGGGAAGTGGGGGCCTCATACCATAGAGTGTATATGTAGGTCAGAGGATTACTCGTGGAAGTCAGCTCTCTCTTTCCACCAAGTGGGTCTTGGCAGTTGAACGCATGCTCAATGGTCAGTGCTCCTAACCACTAAACCACCTACCAGCTCTTTACTTTTTTGAAGTAGGGTCCTGGTGTGTAACCCAAACCAACTTCAAACTCAGAGCAATCTTCCTGCCTCAGTCTGCTGAATGAAGAGATTCCATGCCCAGTTTCTCTCGAGTGTATTATTACTTTGTGTTGGAGGGGAAGTGCATGCCAGCTGCATGTGTGGAGTCATAGAACAACTCTAGGTGCAAGTCCCTACTCCCTTTACGTAACTTCTCAGGATCAAATTCTGATCCCCAGGCTTGGAAGGCAAACACCTTTGCCCTCCAAGCAAAATTTTATTATTATTTTATGTGTATGTTTGCCTGCATGTATGTATGTCTACTAGAAGATGATGATGTCAGAGCCCCTGGAACTGGAGTTACAGGCAGTTGTGAGCTGCTATATGGGTACTGGGAACTGGACCTAGGTCCTCTGCAAGAGCAGTAAGTGCACTTAATCTCTGAGCCATCTCTCCAGCTTCACGGCCTGCTTTATAGAACAACCTACAAGGAAAGAAAAAATTACAACTGAGCATAGTGGCAGACGTGGTGGTACACACCTTTCTAGGTGGATCTCTGTGAGTTGGAGCCAGCCTGATCTACATAGAAAGCTCCAGGCCAGTCAAGGCTATATGGTGAGACTGTATCTTTAAAAAAAAAACAACAAACATTTTCTAAAGCACTGGGACTATTACATTTTTTTATTTCATAATTTAGTAATGGATGCCATTATCTAAGTTAAACAAACTGTGTTAAAGTTTGTTAGGACCTTCCTTTCTCTTCAAATTAAAATCTAGAGAACATTCTAACCTCAGTCAACTCTGATCTCCTATTCCTATCTTGTTACATATAAAGTTGCACAGAGACAGAAATGCTTTGATGAGGAGCCGTTTGTTAGAGGGCTGAGCTGGCACGGGAAGAATACTGACAATGATCTTTGGACACAGTCCTTTCTGGGACAGCAAGAGCCTTCTATGTAGGAAATGATGGTGCTTGCTTTGAAATGTGCCTCAAGAACAAGGTGGAAAAGCTTCAAAGACTGTTTTCTTCTTTAGGCCAGCTGCCATTGCAATTGTCCCTTGTGGAGTTATGCAACGTTTAGAATAAGGGTTTGAGTTGCAGGTGTATAGATCACCAAATGAAGTTATAATTTTAAGAATACTGAAATGCCTTTGCAAGATGAGTACGGTCTTTGTAAATTTCAGAGTGAGCTCATCTCCAAATTCCTAATGTGCACTTAATGCTGAATCATTGTTTAGAGGGTCATTAAAACTGACACCATCACTTTTCTTGATGTTTATGTTGAGGTCTTGTGTGTGTGTGTGTGTTCTCAATTATAGTAATGTTGGCAATAGACGTTGAACAGGAACGTCACCAGATGATGCATTTGACTTTGTAATAGGAAAAGCTTCCAGCCTTGATGTAATTGAACTCTAGAGTGCTGTCCTCAGCTTTCTTGCTTTCTGATGTTTAAGAAACAAATAAAATGAAAAGACTAATAAATTCTGTAAGGAAGAGCTTTTTTAAAAACTCAGTCAGCTACTGTTGATGCAGTAGCTGAGTGAGCGTCAAAAGCTGGCAGCCTGCACTGTGAGAGTAGAGCTAATTTAGGGCTCAGGATGTACTTAGAGGTAGAGCCCTTGCTTTTTGTATATGAATGAGGTCCTGGGTGTGATCCCTGGTACTTAAAAAAAAAACAAAAAAAAAA